TAAATCATCTGGTCTCAGGTCTTGCTCCACTGCCCGTCTTCACTGACTTAATTACATTCAGCTCCCTATGACTCTAAACGGCATATACTGCCTAGGTTTGTATGCTAGCCCTTGACTGAACATGTCTATAAAAAGATGTTTGGAGAGCAATTCTGCTGCAACAAGTGACCTCACCTCATATACTCCCCTTTTGTTTTAGGGAGTGCCTGTATTTTGGATCCTAGGACACCAATATCTATACGGTCATTCTGATTAGCAGCTTCTATAGATCTACTGTGTCAACCTGAGACCTTTACTGTGTCTAACAGACATCCTACATCCTTTATGTAAGGGGATATAAAATCTTTTTCTTGAAGTTCATTAATCCTTTCGCTGCCAAGGACTTTTTTTGGTGTTTTTTGCACGCGTTTTATAATCCACATTTTAGGCCTGAAAATTACTTGATACCCCCAAACATTATATATTTTTTGAAAACAAAAACCCTGTCGAATAAAATGGTGGCAGTTGAAAATTATTATGTTTCACAATAGCGCAAGTCTATATCAAACCCAAAAATGTTGTAAAAAAATGCACTTTTATTTATTTTTAGTGCCCAAAAACACAATATAATAATTTTTTGTGAAATATGAAAGATGAGGCTTTAAATAGATGCCCAAATAAAAAAATTATGTGCGTCCGTGAAACGGCGATAAAATATGGCACCCCAAATTGTCCATAGGTGACGCTTTAAGAGCCCCTACAAGTCATCAGTTTAGAGAGATCCATGAATTTTGGCACTTAAATTTATTACTCACTCTGGCGCACGCAGCGATACCTAACATGCGTTCATCGTTTTCGTACGTAGGCGCACCCGACGCGTGTAAATACGCGGGGGCCTTTAAATTTTGTTTTCTTATTTATACTTTTTTTGTTTAACTACCTGCCGGCCTTTGTAAAAAAACAAACGCCGGCCGGGAGCTCTCTACATCTGAGCGGGCGCCTTTAGACGTCCACTCGGCCACGGCCACTTGCGCGCACGAGCGGAAAACAGACAATTTAAAAACAGGCAGCGATGCCTGTTAACATACAAGCGATCCACCGGCTATAGAGCCGGCTGATCGCTTGTAAGAGCTGCCAGCCCGTGTCCCCCCTCCCTCCGCGGCCCCCCTCCCGTTGTCACGCTGGTCCCGGGCTCTGCTGTGCCCGGTGCGAGGCTGGGACCAGCATAGTGCCTCTGTTAGACACCATTCACACGTAGCGACATACCTTTTGCAGCAGATCCGCACGGCCGGGATAGCGCGACTTTCGGGGCGTCGTTCCAGCGACGATCCAGCGACGGTAGCGCGACCTTCTCCGTCGGGCTCCATAGAAAAAAGGCAAAATCGTGCAAAAAGGGTCCGGTAGAAGCGACTTGCGACGGCGACGAGCAACATGGAGTTAAGACAGCTCCATTGAATAGCATTGGCCGGCGACTTCTCGCGATATCGCGCGGCAAAAATGCGCGATATCGCGCTATAATTCGCTACATGTGAACGGGGCCTCACACGGAATCAGAGGGAGATCGGTACACGACCTCCCTCCGGTCCCCTCTCCACTGCCAAAATGCAGAAGTGATGTTTATTACATCACTTCCGTATTGTGTCACTTTCTAGCGTTTCATGCTGGAGAGAAGCTGATGAAGCAGATGTCTGCTTCATCAGCTTCTTCTGGGGGTTCTAGGTGACAGGGCTCTTGGAGACCCCTGATGTCTCCATAAAGAGGACCTGTCACATAATTTGCTATCACATAGGGGGGTTTCTTAGCCCCATGAGTGATAGAAATAAAGTTAAGGAGGGAAACAAAAATAGGAAAAAAAATTAGTTTCCCCCCAAAAAATGTAAAGCCACATATAAAAGGGAAAAAAACAAAAAAAAATGTCCCCATCCATACATACACGCATGCAAACATGCGTTGAGTGCGCATACCTGCGAATATGACGATTGCGCCCATTATGCAGCACATGTTACATATCGTCGCCCACGTTGCAGTGAGAGCAATAATTCTAGGGCCATCAATCACTGATAACACTAAACTGATGAGCGGTAAAAGCTTTTAAATCGTCGCCTATGGTCAATTTTGGGCATGGTAGTTTTTTGCGATTTCGCTGGTGCGCGCAATTTTTAAGCTTGACATGTTTGGTGCCTATATACCACACGTTACGTCTTTTATATTTTACCAAAAATTGGGTAATAATAATTGTTTCCTAACATAATGTAAAAAAAAAACTTTTATTTTTCCAAAATTTTCAGTAATTTTTCAGAAAAATAGTAAAAAATAAAACCCGTAGTGGTGATTACATACCAAGAAAATAAAGCTCTATCTGTCCCCAAAAAATGGTATAAAATTAATTTCAGTACAGCGTTGTATGACGGAATAAATGTCAGTCAAAGTACTGCAGTGCTGAATACTGAAAAATGGCCTGGACAGGAAGGGGGTCTAAACACCCCGGTAAGCAAGTGGTTAAATTGTTGTTTTTTTTTCTTTTTTACAAGCCCCTTATGTGATAGCATACTAACGGTGACCGCTCTCTTTAAGGTAATGTTAGGGGCCAATTAGATCCCTAATGTCACCTTTCCACTCCAAATAAGCTATTGGAACGCAGATCTCGCTCTAATAGCTTATTGCCCAACTTCTGCAGCCAAGCAATGACAGCTGAGGGACTGGACGTGATACAATCAGCGTTGCTTCCTGTCCCATAGAACTGTGAGGAGATCAGTGAATGGATGTTTGTCAGTCTCCTTTTGCTTCACACCGTCACCCAACAAGCGAGGTGGGGGTGTCTGGCGGGGGCCGCAATTTACCGGCCTGTGGAAGTTATCTGGTAGCAGTTGAGCTGCCAGAATCGCTTCCAGTGTTAAGTAGGTGTTAAGCTTTACACATGTATACAGAGTCCCAGCTATAGTCTGTTTAAAGGGGCCCGCTGCCAACATATGTCTGTTGCAGTGGAAGGGTTAAGCGACAAAGGTCCCACCTCTCAAAAACCCAGGCATGTCAGTTGGAGTTGGCTGGCTCAACTGTTGTTTTGTTTGCCAGTGTCTATACCTTGTACAATTGTTTTGTCAATATTATTCCTTTGTCCCTCAATGAACTTCAAGAGAGATTTTGTTACGTGTAAAATTATTTTTTTCTTTCCAAGAAACACCTTTTTTTCTTTGATTTCTTTCTTTTTTTTCTTCAAGCAAGACTCTTCTTTACATTGCTGCTGAAGCTTTGTCTACTCGGGTGCAGCTGTCTGGTACAGTTGTCTTCAGCCTGGCTTTTGGGGTACTGCATCCAGACCATGCTGAAGTGGGCATTGCAGGGATATCCTGGAAGTGACAGATCTGTGTGGGGTGCATTCCAGACTCCCTTCTGGTAAAAGTTTCAAAGTCCAGACCTGCTGCCATTACCTTTTTAATGCTTGTCCTGTCTCTGAAGACTTGGTGAGTGGGCCAGTTGGGCAGATCTCTAGTGAGCTGACCCATTTAATTAGGTCCCAGGGTGCACTGCAATGTGATAGATAAACCATCAGGGAGGATCCATCTTGCTGTGGTAAGAAAGGTAGATCAGATCCTGTCCTGGGCAGAACTTGACTTTCCAGCCTTTTCCGATGATATACCTTTCTGGTTGTATGCCCTATTAATAAAGTCTACATTTGAATAGGATACTTTTTGCCAGTTCTTTCGTATTTGCACTTGTTCTGGGACAAGCAGAGACCTTCACTGAGCAACGCAGTTCCTTTGGTAGATTTGGTTAAGGAGGTTGAGCCGCTTTATTTCTTGTTTGCATTGCAAGATGTAGACTTCCAGGCATAGACAGTTGGCCGGAAAACTTCCTCAGCCTGCAATGTCTGGACCTGCAATGTCCATATGCACAGGTGTTCCAGGACCTGTGTTGCTGGTGGGGGATGCTGGATGCGGATCCCTTGCCCTTCAGGTTAATCAAAAAACTGAACAGGTTTGTCTCCATTTACAAGGATCCTCTTACAGAAGCAGTGGATGCTCTGGTGGCTCAGTGGAATCGGTACACATCTATGCCTTTACCCTACTGAAACTTCTTCCTTGTCTGCTACGCAGGGTGAAGATGGAAGACCTGCGCTAAGGCATATACAAGAGCACAGGGGTATACTTGGGGATATGGAGGAGCACATAGTATTATGTCCATCACTTGCAACTGACTTACAATATATACGGTGTTTCAATTTACATCAGTTTCTATTTGCAAACATTCCTTCTGGAACCTAACCCTGGCATAAATCGAGGGTTTCTAGTACTGCGCGCAGTACTTCTTGTCAGTGCAGACCACCGCAGCACAGTGGTGTGAACTGGACCTATTTAATGCAAGGCAATTTGGCTTGTCTGCGAGTTGGGTGTACGCTGGCTGCTTTTTCCAGCACAACCCCAAGACACAGACAACACATCTGATATGAATGGGCCTTAAAGGGGCTGTGCCTTCTCTTGCTGTGCCTTCCCTTTAGTTAAACTATAATGCTCTGGGAATCCTTGGACATGTATTTGTAAAACAAGTGTGTGTGTATGTAATCATATATAATATATAAAGTAAACTCCTCCCCATTATCTGGCATCCAACACATTGAAGTATACTGTACTGTAATTAATGAGCAATACAGTGATCACTAGGTGGCGCTTGTTCATAGACTATCGTTCACAGACACTTGCTCCCAGGCTAATACGGTGGCAAGCGCACTCTTTGGCCCTGGTTTTCTACACTCACATGCTGCAGAGCCCTTTCTTGGTCTCCTACAAGGTTGCAGATCGGCAGAACAGTGGATTGTTTTTTTGCCAGTTATATGAGAGATCTGGTTAGTTGAATACCAGTTAGCAGAGAGTTTACTGTATTTGCTTACAATTGCCCAAAAGGCATTATAGTTATCTTTTATTGTAAACATCTTACTTGCATTCAGAAAACCTCTTTTGTCACTAGTTAACTTGTATATTGTTTTTATAAGCATGACAAGAATTTACACTTTTTTTTTTTTATAGTGGTCTATGAGCACAGATCACGGCTAGAAAAATCTTTACAAAAGGAAAGACTTGAACTGAAGAAAGCAAGAGAAGGTAAGTGATCACCTATTCTGAAACAATGCTGTTTAATGTGATTTGACCTATGTGTCTTCTTACATCCCCAATTCCCCAAAAGTTGGGACGTTGTGTAAAATCTCCATAAAAACAGAATGCAATGATTTGCAAATCTCATAAACCCCTATTTTATTCACAATAGAAAATATATCAAATGTTTACACAGGGGAAATGGACCATTTTAAGAAAAAAATAAGGTAATTTTGAACTTGATGGCAGCAACACCTCTTAAAATAGTTGGGGCAGGGCCATGTTTACCTCAGTGTAGTATCCCCTCTTCTTTTAACAACACTCCAGGAGACCAGTTGTTGGAGTTTTTTTAAGAGGAATGTTGTCCCATTCTTACCTGATAGAGGATTCTAAGGGGTCTATTCACTAAGCTGCCGTAGGCAGCCGAGTGAATGACCGACCTGAAGTGAAGTGAGCCGAACACTGTTCGGCTATTCACTTCAGGCTGGTACGGCTGATTTCAGCTGTACATCGGCTGAAATCCGCCGGACATCGGCTTGCTTCGCATGGCTTCGGGTCGGCCGAACATGCTCAGCATGTTCGGCTGACCCGAAGTGCAGAAGGAGTTCGACTCAGCCGATCCAACATCTGGATCGGCTGAGCCGAACCTCCGGCAGGCTTCTCACTGCTGTTCGGCCTATTCTTATAGATGCCGAACAGCAGTGAGTGAATAGCCGAATGCCGCTCAGGCTGTTCTGCTCGGTCCCTCCAGAGGGACCGAGCAGAACAGAAAAATAGTTAAAAAAGTAAATAGAAAAGGATTGTGCGGAGCTAGCAGTGACCGCTCCGCCCAACAGTTTTCTATTGTCCGGCGATTCTGCTGCCGTCAAAAAAGAAAAGAAAAAAACTCTCCCGGCCGCTCAGGAGAGAAACGCTGCTTTTTCTTTTTTTTTCTTTATTCTGACACAGAGCCGTGTCAGAATAGAAAAAAAAAATTTAAAAAATGTTGCCCATTGGAATGCATTGCTAGAATCCTATTGGCTATTTCAATTTGCAATAGCCAATAGTAAACTAGCATTGTACCCGCCCTCTGCTGATGGACCTGATGGAGAACTGCAGCAGAGGGCAGGTACAATGCTAGTTTACTATTGGCTATAGTGTCAAAAAAAAGAAACAGCGGTGTTTCTCTCCTTGGCAGCCAGGAGCGGGAGACTCCCGGAGCTCCAGGGAGAGTTTGCTGTTTGGAGATCAGTGTTCCTGGTTAGCAGGTAACCAGGGACGCTGATCTCTCTGCATGTGGCCGCCCAGCTGTCAGAAGCAGGCTGTCGGCCAGCTTCGGCTTTCAGCGCGGCTGAGCCGAGGCATATGCGTTTGGCTCGACTGAGCCGCTCGGCCACGTTAGGGAGCTGTACGGGCTATAGTGAATAGCCCGTACAGCACCCCTTCGGTTCTACTGAACCGAAGGGGTCCTGGGGCCGAAGCTAGCCGAAGGATCGGCCGAAGCTACGGCTAGATTCTTCGGCACCTTCGTGAATAGATCCCTAAGTGCTCAACAGTGCTGGGTCATCTGTCATATTCTTTGTTTCAAGATGCACCAAATATTTTTAGTTGGGGAAAGGTCTGGACTGCAGGCAGGTCATTTAAGCACCCGGACTCTTCTACTATGAAGCCATGCTTTTGTGATAGATGCAGTATGCGGTTTAACATTGTCCTGCTGAAATAGGCCTTCCCTGAAAAAGACGTCATCTGGATGGGAGCATATGGTGCTCTAAAACCTGGATATATCTTTTAGCATTGATGGTGCCTTTCCAGATGTGCAAGTTGCCCATTCCATAAGCACTAATGCATTCCATACCATCAGAGATGCAGACGTTTTAGCCAAGCTCTGATAACAAGCCAGAAGGTCCCTTTCCTCTTTAGTCCGAAGGACGTGCAACTCCTATGGTTGGAAAAAAGAATGTCAAATTTCGATTTGTCTGACCACAGAACAGTTTTCCACTTTGCAACAAACCATTTTAAATGAGCTTTGGCTCAGAGAAAACGGCGGCGTTTCTGGATCATGTTCAGATATGGCTTCTTTGCATGATAGAGCTTTAACTTGCATTTTTGAATGGCACATCAAACTGTGTTCACAGACAGTGATTTTTGGAAGTATTCCTGAGCCCTTACAGTGATGTCCATCACAGAATCATGCCTGTTTTTAATGCTTTGTTGTCTGAGGGCTCGAAGATCACAGGGAACAAATATTGCATTTCGGCCTTGTTCCTTGTGCACAGAGATTTCGCCAGATTCTCAGAATATTTTGATATGTACTGTAGATGATGATGAGATATTTAAAATCTCTGCATTTTTATGTTGAACATTATTCTGAAATTGTTGGACAATATTTGAGGCAGCTTTTCATGGATTGGTAAACCTCTGACCGTCCTTCCTTTTGAAACACTCTGATTCACTCTGATAAGTACCACTTACTTTGCCAGCTTTTTGTTGCCCTGTCCCAACTTTTTTGAGACCTGTTGCTGTCATTAATTTTCAAATTACCTTATTTTTTTCTTAAAATTGTGCATTTTCTCAGTTTAAACATTTGATATGTTTTCTATTGTGACTAAAATCTGGCTTTATAAGATTTGCAAATCATTGCATTCTGTTTTTATGTAGATTTTACACAGCGCCCCAACTTTTTGGGAATTGGGCTTGTAAATGCCCTCTAAGATATAGGATTTTTACAGCTCCAGTAATAGGAGGTATGATCCACCTGTATGTGCACCAATCTCTCATCACCTTTGATGGAACACAAGCGGCTGGCCAGCCCTGTGAACCACAGGTGAATAATTTGCGGCACCCAGAATACAGCCCCAGCTTTTTAGAAATGGTATTGGTATGTTGGCATGTAGCATTTCAACATTTTAGATGTGACAGTAGCTTTGCTATATTTTTAATCTTAGGCACAATTTGTACTTTTGTACCAAGGGTATTGATTGGGATCAGCTTGAGGTTAAAAGGTAAATTTAGGTATAAGGATCAGGTTAAGGGTTATGTATAGTGGTTAGGTATAGCGTTACAGTAAGATTTAGGGGTTGTGCTGGGCATAAGGATAATTGTAATTTACCATTTGTGGGTGTGATCAATTCATTTCTCAGGTGTGTTAATGGTATAGCATGAGTGATAAAAGCGATTTGTGCTTACTAAGATTTCTGTTACCCAAACTCCCATACCAAAAGCAGTCTCAGAATCTCAGACGTGGAAAATGAATATACTGCTAAAATAAGAGGTGTGAAACTGTTGGGGACCCAGTAAAAAAAAACCAGAAGGCTTGTTTGAGCCCTAGTTTAGAAAAGGTTGAGCTTTGTGTACTTACCCATGTAAAAATACCTAAATCCCAGTCTCTTTATTTGGGAAAGGGGGTTTTCAGGACTCACTTTTGTAGCCGACTCCCTGCAAGTCACACTAAATAATACTGCTCATTATTTTCATGGTACTATCTATGCAAAGTCTGGCTTAGACATCAGAAGGGCAGCCAGTGCTGTGTAGAGGTAGAGCTGCAAATAACGCATGCAATTTGCAAAGGAAATAAGAAATTACTTCTGTGTACTATCCTCAGGTACTGGTATTTTGCATTAAAATTTCCCATGTAGCCTAAGTTATCAATCCACAACAATCAATGTTCTTCCTTGTATGTTTTAAAACCTTTCCTTGGCTTTTGTGCTAAGTGGGATCTCTAGACTTCAATTAATTAGAAATTGTTGTATTAAATAGCTAAATAATATCTTCGCAAAAAACAAACCTATTTAATGAGCCACAAAGGCTGAGCAGGTCCTGGCCGCCACACTCAGTACAACATAATTGCTTTAATAATCCAGGTGCACATTCAGCTTTGGTCAGCGCAAGTATCCGGATGTATACTGTGAAAATGCTAATTTATATGTGCATTTTCTATGCAAATGAATAATCTCAAGCAATTAATTATTTAGCTTCTGACCAATAAACTGTGAAATTGCATTTTGTCTTATCAGCTGGAAGGATGTGGATTTTATTTGTGTTGTCACAAGGCTGTAGCAGACAATTTTTAAGAAGCGCTGCAAAACAGCTCACACTCGACATTTCCTAATTCTCATACTAGCTGGTCCCTTTTTGGGGATTTTCTGTAGGTCTGAAAAGAGTTGAATGTGCCTTATTACTGCCATCTAGTGTTGGAAAGGAAATTGACATGTGCTTTGATGAACCCAGACTACATTTTATTACTGGCAACAATCTAAAGTCTAAACTGTTATTCTCTGGTCAGTACAGATACACATTCCAAACTCAGAATGCCAGTTTACTATTAAGAGAGAATATAGCTCGGCAGCTGTTATGGGTCCTTTTGAAAAATTGTCTGCCAGTTTTCTTCAGCTTTATAGATCAGTGTTCTAGTGCAATAACTTCTGCCTGTATCAGAGGCTAATATAAGAGAATCTGTGTACAGATTTTTAACCGCCATATTGTATTTGCATGCATACTATACATACGGTATGTAAAGAAAAGGCCAATCATGTTTTCTTCTGTATTTAGAGTTAAAATGCACCCTAACCCTAAGGTACTTTAACTATTAACAAAAATGTATTTTGTTTGTGTATCACTCGGGTGTAGATCCATAAATCATCTCTGAATTGGTGCTGACACTGTCCTTCTTCTGGAGGATGGCTACTTTTGTTCCTCATGGTCCCTGTGTGTGTTGTAAAGCAGGGCGTGACAAATCCCAGGTCGTCATGGTGACTAGAACTTCCATCCTGGCACCTGGGCTTTTGTCAGCCTGTTCACTGCATGCATCAGGGATGAGAAATTTCTATTGCCCGATGCCCCGGACATGCAGTTTCGGCCGCCGCGTCAGCTCTGCTCCCCCCATTCTAATCCCTATTGGGAGCCCGCTGTATGCTGTGATTGATCTGTGTCACCTTCGATCCCCTCTGCTCTCCTCACCTGTATCGGCAGAAGCAGAGGGGGACAGACCGCCGCAGCTGGCGCCTAGCGGGGAGGAGAGACCGCTGTAAGCCGCTGTGACTTTGCATTCCCCCCCATGCGCACTCTTTGGATTCAACTGCCAGCAGTAGAAAGCCAGCGACAAGTCTCCCATCCAGCGGGCCAGGAGCAATAGCCAGCCTCCTATTGGATTTTTTAAATTGCAGTAGTGCAAGTCGGGTGCACCTACATATGAAAACGATTGCGCTTCACATGTCGGGTATCGCCGCATGTGCCCATCAAAACTGTGATTGAACATTACATCTGTCATTTAAAATAAAGCTTTGATAGTTAAAAAAAAAAAAAAACTGGCTCCTAGATTCAAAGCAAATTTGTCAAGCCCTGTTGTAAAGCATCCACTCACGTGATGGACTATACCTTCAATACAAATTGGTAAACTGAGTGATTTTCATCCCGGAAATGAGCTTGGAGCAATGTCGGCATGGATTCAGAGATGATTTGAGGATCCTCAGCTGAGTGATACACTGGTGTGATGTGTTTAATTGCATGTTTCTGTGCGATTAATGCATTGTACCACACAATGCATCTACTGTGCCTTAACAGTCCGGGAGGTGGCACCCCAAACACACTTATGCCCACAATGTGCTCGATCATACTGCAGCACACGATACCGCAATACCGTGCGTTGCGATCAAAAGAAAGTACATTGTGCCGCGATTGATTGCACTGCAGAAGGGAAGTTGGTTTGGCGTGCAATTCAAATGAATCACAACGGACTTCCCACACTGTTGCGTATGGTAGTTGTGTCATTAGGTACGGTGTGTTATGGAACGGTGAATGAGCCCTAAAACAACAGCCAGGATAGGAGTATCATGCAGTCTATCATTTGACATCAGTGCCTAGTAAAGCTACTTTACAAAACACATTAGAATTTTTTTTTTCAACATATAAATAAAATTACAACCTAAGATAAGAATTGAGTGCAGTTAGCCTCATAATTCATAATTTGACGTCTGCTTCCCCTTTTTTCTAGATCATCTTGTTTATAAACTTGAAGCCCAAGAAACACTGAATAAGGGAAGAGTAAGTAGAATTGAATTTGCATGTTCTGTTGTCTTTGTTCTCACGCTTGTAGAGGAGCCAGGTTTTATTGTACCTTGTTTATTAATACAAATCATGTTTCCTTGCAGCAATGACCACAAACAGTACAGTCACTATGTGGTTAAAGCAGTCATACCGTGCAGAACATGGAATGAAAATATGCCAGGCCCATTGTTTAATCTAACAACATTGTATCAACTGAGTTTGTGATGGTTTATGGCCCCTTTTATACGGGCTGTCAGTTTTTCAGGCAGATCTGATCCGAAGCCCAATGTTGCTCAATGCTCCATGGGATGTAAATGGAGATGTGTTCGTTTACAACCGATTACCCCTGACTCCACCTAGGTCTGGAAAGAAAAAAACGGAACAGCATTCTGTTTTCACGTACCTGGTTGTGACGGATTGAAGGTAATTGGATGTACACAGATGCATGTCTGCTTACATCTGACTGCCTATAGATGTAACCTGGGTCTGTACAGCTCAGTTTTGTCCTTCATCGCTGACCGGGCACAGATGTCACAGATGTGCCTTCCTTTCCATTCTACTCTGATCAGCAGGGGGTCTGTGCACTGATCTCCTGCTGATTGGAATGGACAGCGCCCGTGTGAAAGTGGCCAAACAATTTAATATGCATACATCTGCATTTTCATTACTTATTTTTTTTTCTTTAGACTTAAATTTGCTAAATACTGTTTATATTTGTTGGATAAGTTTTCAGAATAAATACCTCTGCTGGAGTGCACTTTTTTTTGCACAATGTTTAACTTCTTTTTTTTTTCTTTAGCAAGACTCAAATACCAGATACAACGCACTAAGTGTACAACATCAAATGTTGAAGGTAGGTCTTTTATCACACCTCTTTTAAAGCACGTTTGCACTGTAGCTAGCAGCGTTTAGTTATATTTTATGTAAAGGCTTTTACTTTTTTTTTTTAGCTTTGGAGAAAAGTTAGTCCCTCTACCAAATTTGGACTGCTAGGGAGCTTCACCTCTCTGTTTGCCCCGGTGACCATTGTAACCAAGACAAAGAGCAAATGGAAATCCTAGATTTTCGAGCTGTCATGAGAGCGGGTGTGCCCCTCTCGGCCTCCTAACAGTTTCTCTCCTCCCTGCTACGACAATTTAATCTGAAAGATGGCACTGTCGGCTGTTTGGCCAAAGTACAATTTTTGGCCGATATGTGTCATCGTCCAAAATCTCAGTGATA